ATCTGGAGGCCCAAGGTTGGGGACCACTGTTCTAAAGGACTTGAGCACAAACCTGCCATGTTTTGAAGGGCCCTCCGCCACCCTGGCATCCCTAATTTAATCGACCAATTAATTAATTAATTTTACAAAAATTCAACATTTGCAGCCTAAGGGCTCTGAGGGGGCTGTTCTCAGTCGAAACCAATGTTAAAAAAAAGGCCATCCATTTTTCATTGAACACGGTAGCAGGCTTTACGAAAAAAAAATCTGTCCCATCAGCTCTTCACTCTGATACCCCTTTTCTTGCTCTTTCCATGAACCCTGGGTTCAGTGGCAGCCATAAGAGGTCACTGGAGTGGAACAACCCATACGTTTGGAAAAAAATGATTTCCCCCAAGCTTCATTCCTCTCCGCTGCAAATTGCATGGAACGGCACAGGAACCTATGTCTGATAAGTGCACCCAATTTTAAAAAAACTTGAACACCCCATTCCTTCCTAATTTGGGACCTACTTAGTATTTGGATCGTGGACTACCAGGAAATACCTAGGATCTCCAGGCTGAGCTAGGAATGACTGCTGCTTGAAACCTCCCCAAAAGCTGCTACCGTGTTCCTATGCCACCATGTCCTGCCTGGGACGTCTTCCATCTTCCCCAAGTCAACGAGAAAGCCCTGCCGCAGAGACTGTGGTTGGGCCTTGAAGACCATACCTTTTCAAGATGACAAGGATGTGCATCGTCCAGGGAAGGAGGAGGAATGCTTGGTTCTGCTGAACAGCTTCCACTGTCCTTTGGGCAACCGTCTCAGGTTTTAGTGGAGGGAAGAGGTTTGGGAACCTGAAAAACCCAACACAGACCCTTGAGAAGAATGTAAGGAGAGATTCTGAGACTTTCTTAGAAGACCTTTTTCCCTCCTTAGTAAACTTCCGAGGTGTGAATCCACCCACTAGTTCCAGCTAGGACAACTGAAACAACAGAACTTACAGGAATGTAGACTTACTAAGTCAGATCTGCAACCCTCTGCCAGATCTGCTTTGATTTGGGTTCCTGCATTGAGCAGGAGGTTAGACTTGATGGCCTTCAAGGCCCCTTCCAACTCCATAAGTCCATGATTCTATGACTCTGAAGTTCCTGTTGACTCAGTGGGTCTAGCTGGGGATAACTAGACAATAATCCATTTTGGTTTCTCTATATCCCATCTTTCTCCCAATAAATTGGCCTTAGGCAATTACAGTGGTGCCTCGCTTAACAATTACCTCGTTAAACGATGAAACCACTTGACCATGAAGTTTTTGCGATCGCTTTTGCGATGTTTTCATGGTTAAAAAAATGGCTTAACGATGATCGGTTCCCTGCCTACCATGCTTCAGGAACAGATTTTTCGCTAAACAACGATTTTGAAACAGCTGATCGGCGACTCTAAAATGGCCGTCTGCTGTGCAAAATGGCTCCCCGTTGTGTTTTCAGGACGGATTCCTCACTTTACAGGCACCGAAAATGGCCGCCCCTATGGAGGATCTTCACTGAACGCTGAGGTATTTAGCCCATTGGAATGCATTGAACCATTTTCAATGCATTTCAATGGGCTTTTTCATTTTGCTTGACGAGGATTTTGCTTAACAGCGATTTCAACGGAACGAATTATCCTCGTCAAGTGCCCACTGCCCTTACTCCAGAGCCAGAATCCTAGTGAAGGAAAACTATGCCCATAAGGGCAATTACAGAAGCCATTGTTCATCACAGGAAATTCTACAGAATTTCTTGGGGGGAAATTTCTCATTATAGCACAACGACGACAACAACAACAAAAATTTCCTTTTCTCTCTGAGGGTGAGAAGCAGCAAGAGCCAAATCTCTATTATCTTCCTTTTAAAAAAGTGTCTAGCATGCCATTCTCTACCACTCCTTACAACATCCCGGAAGAACTTGGTCTGTGGTTCTGTAGAGGGAATGGGATGGTGTTCCAGCTGCTAACGGCTGTTGTTCCTCACCAGAAGAACAACAACTTGGGAGAAAGATGGAATAGAAACAGAAAAGAGCAAAATAAAATGAAACGCAGGCTGAAATCCTCTTGGTGTAGTGTTGCCTGCAGAAAGATGATAACATGGTGGGCAGTGGATGATTTTTGTTAATGTCAAACTTCCTACTTTCTTCTGGAGATTTTTCTGGCTCCTGAGTAATCCATTCCATCATGTAGAAGCCGTGGGAATCAGGGGACAGAAAGAAGTATTCTGTACTGAATATTGTGGCTTCCAGACAATAGTATTATCAAGAGATTTCTGGTAGTTAAAAGACTTCCTCCTTCCATCCTGGGGTTCCCACAGCTTCCATGAAAAAAAAGGAGAGAAGTAAGAAGTTTTGAACTGCTGAATAGCTCAGTAGTTTAGGTATTTGGCTACGGAGCCAGAGTTTAATTCCCCACTGGGCCAGACTCTATGATCCATAAGGTCCCTTCCAGCTCTGCAGTTCTGAAGTTTTTTTATATATATTATTATTATTAAATTACTAAAAATTGCCCCCCTGCCTGTAGCAATCATCATCAATATCATCACCACCATCATCAAAGCAGCCTTAGGCAAATTAGAAGGTTATGTTACTGCTAGTAATAATGATGATGAGATATACTCCTGTAATACATGTTAGAGAATTATTCCCTATTATCATCAGAGAAGTTAGATAAAGTGTTTTCCTTGTTTCCTTTTCCTACAAAGAGTTTGAAGATGCTGCTAGAGCAGGCTCTGGATAGAAGTCTGTTCTAGCAGCATTGTATAAGGAAAAGAAGAAGAAGAAAAAACTTCAAAAGCTTGAAGACCTCTGCAGGAGAGAAAGATGTGCTCAGCCCTAAGCTAGCCACTCTCCCTGTCTCCCTCTCTTCCCACCCACCTGATCCGCATGCCTTGAAACATCTCAGTGCTGGTGTGGAAGGGCAGGACGGTGGTGGCATTCACCCCGGGGCAGTCCAGCAGCCCCAGTGTCAAACTCTCCATGAAGGCAAAGGATGAAGCTTTGGAAGTGCAATAATCGATCGCTCCTGGAATGGCGGATAAAGCCAAGACAGAATTGAGGCAAACAATGTGTCCTTTTTGCAGCTCCAACATCCGCGGCAGGAAGGCCTTTGTGGTCTGTTGGCCAAGAGAAAACAAGAGACCTAGGTTAGATCAGAGACATGCTGGCCTGAATCCTAATGGTTGTCCCATCTACAGTAGACCCATTCAATTCATTGGATTCATGCAGTCGTTAACTTGCTACTCTTCAGTTGGTTCAGTGGATCTACTTGAGTTGAGACTAGACGCTGGAGTTCGGCCAAAAGCGGAACCAGCAACAAGACTTCTTGTCATGGCGAGTTCTTCTGTTCAAGAAGAATATTCTGGTGACTCCATGCCATGCATTCCTCTCCCCTCTGTTTTTCTAGCCCAACCTTGTTTCCCCAGATGTTCTTGGATCACGACTCCCAGAATTCCCGGCCAGCACAGTGAATGGTGAAGGCTTCTGTTATTTTTTGTCCAAGAACATCTGGGGAACCAAAACTGGGAACCACTGTTCTAAGCCCACCGAGAATCAAACCTGCTGAGAATTTCATCGCTACGCAAGGATTTGAACTAGAGTATTTGCAGGCCTACAGCAAAACTCTCCCTGCAATTTTCCTCCACGTGGGGCCTTCTCAGCATGGTGGACTACAGTTCCCAAGAGCCCCAGCATGTTGTTCAAGAGCAATGGGAGTTGTAGCCAAAACAGCTCGACAGCAAGGTGATGAGAAAGTTTGCTCTAACTCCCGGGTCATGTTTAAAGCTGCAGCGGGCACACAGAGAGAAGTTTCGTGAGGGTAGCATGTTAGTCCATTACTGGAAATACCAAGGGTCTCGTGGGACCTTAAGGGTTACCACGTTTTATACAGCATAAGCTTTTGTGTGCCGCAGCCAGCTTCACGCCCACTGCCCTGCTTCAACATTTCCCGTTGAACCTTTGAGACTAGCAAGTTGATTTGGCAGGATGATGATCAGTGCTTTGTCATCCACTTCTTCAGACAATAATGAAATTTTACATATTGATTTTCATTTGTTTGCCTGAAATATAATTTTGCTCTCTCTTTTTTGGCTGAAGGAAACTAATAGGACTACCTAGAGTGGTCGTATTGACCAGATAGGTGGGGTGCAAATAGAATAAATAAATAAATACCTTCCTGAAAGTTTTTCACTATTGCAGTCCAAAGGAACTAAGGAATCCCCTAGTATGACCAAACACTGGTTCATCATCATCTCATTAAAAGTGTCTTGCTATTCAGGATGCGATTTACTGATTACTTGGACTATAATCCCATAATTCTCCACTCTGGGAGTTCAACCTGATTTAGACACAATTTACAGACACTTAAATGCGGCTCACCTAGGAGAAAAGGCCTAAACTGGAAGACTTTGAGGTTTAGCTAGGCCTAGCTCCACTCAGGCTTCCTGTTCCTGCCCCAGTGTTAGCTGGGAACTTTCTTTCAGAACAGGAAGCTAGACAGGGCTACGCCTAGCTCAGCCTCAAAGCCTTTCTGTTTAGGTCTTTTCTTCCCAGTGAGACACATTTACGTGCCCATAAGGTGTGTCTACGTCAGGTAGCATTCCCAGAATAGGGAATGACTTTTCTTCCCGGTGAGACACATTTACGTGCCCATAAGGCGTGTCTAAGTCAGGTAGCATTCCCAGAATAGGGAATGATGGGGTTCGTAGTCCAAGAAATCAGCAAATCTCATCCCCACTTGTTATATTAAAATGCAGGAAACTGGGAGGAGAACAGGCGTCCAGCCATTTTGCAAGTGGGAGCAGTGGAGATTAGGCTGGCGTTCTTCTACTCAGCAACACAGCTATTTTAATGATGTGCAGAGAAATAAACAATACAATTGTCGAGATGTTTTTTTGGCAGGCCCCGGGTTTCGCCCCTAAGGGGTCACTTTTTTTTAATAACTCATAAAAGAACTGAAAATAAAACACCATACACCAGGTCCAAAAAGCAGATCCAGTGCGAAAACATGGGCTGGAGTGCTGAATATTGATTTTAGAAGACATTTGAAGGGCGTCTGTGAACTTTGAATCTCCTTTCCTCCCCCTTCTCCTCTTTGCTCCTTGTGTTATGTTTCTCCCACCCACCCCACCCCCGGGCAGTGTTTGTGGCTGATCTTCCCGAGCAACCCGCTCAGCGGAGTCGAATAGCGGCCAAGCTTGCTGGCTGCCATCCCTTCTCCGCTCATCCAAGTCTGAACGCATGGGAGGTGAGACGGTTTCCTACCCAGAATTGTCCCAGCGTGTTGATGTGCTGCGATTTCAACAAGGCATCATCATCGCTGTCCATCAGGCACCTGCCGTGAACCACGGCGGCATTGTTCACCAAGATAGTAATATCTCCCACCTGGAACGAGGGAGAAAACAGAAAGGTGCTCCATAAATCTGGATCTACCCAAGTCCCAGTGACTCAATGGGTATCGACCCTTCTTAACTCTCACCACTAGGTTTAACCCCATTCCTTCTCTCTCTCCAGCAAGAACTACTGACTCACCTTTTCTCGGACCGCTTTGGCCTGCCTGTAGACCTCCTCTCGATTCCCCACGTCGCAGATGAAGTAATGGCACTCGGTCCCCATCGCCCGGATCTCTTCTGTGGTCCCCTTCAGACACTTCTCAGTTCGGCCCCACAGGATAACCTGGATAGAACATGGGACCTTGCCGTCACACGGGGAAATATGGCCGCTGGCCATCACACTGTTGTACCATTCTACAATTCTGTGACTCCAGAGGGAAGAAACATAATCCCTATGGATCTCTCATGCACACCCCTTGCCGGAGAGCACAGGATACAATAAGTACAGGTAGACGAGACAATGCTTTCCTGAGGATGTACTACAGGGCTACCGTTCTTGAGCAAGCCAGATGTTGCCAACCTAAAAATGAAAACCCCTGCATCGTAGAAAACCTTGCCTGTCTGGAGATATAGGCTCCTGGGTGAGGCAAAGTCTGATGACTGGGTCGTTGACAATCAAGAGCTCCTGTTCCATGCAAACCACGATGAGTTTGCCAAGGACACCTCTGGTCCAAGCAAGATCTTGTCCATCTGGAAAAAGGTCCTGCTCTTCCATGCAAAACTGCTAATGAAAACCCAACTTTCTAGTTGGTAAACGAGGGCTCTTGTCTCAGGCCAAACTTTGGTGGTCTGCTTATGAGTGCTCCTCTCCGTGCGAAACCTTCCCAGTCTGCAGACAAGAGCTCCTGTTTCATACAGAAAATCTTTTCGCTTTGCAAACAAACCCTCCTGTTTCCATGAAGAACCTCGTCAGCCTTTTATTCAAGAGAAAGAACTATTTATTCTCCCTTTTCATCAGTCTCTGAGCAGCGACCAGAACTAATGGCATAAGAAGCTGCTTGGACCTGATGAGGAAAAATCTGGGGCAAAGTTAGACTGTGGCTCGTAGGGATGAGTTTTTAAAAAAAGTTTATTGGACTACAAATCCCATAGTTCTCCATTCTGGGTGTTCTACCGGCATAAAAAAGTTAATTGGACTACAAATCCCATAATTCTCCATTCTGGGTGTTCTACCGGCAGACAGATACCAAAGTGCTGCTTGCCTGAGAGAAAGTTTGAAATGGAAGGCTGAGCTAGGCCTAGTTCCACTTAAGCCTCCTTCCTGTTCCAGCCCCACTGCTCGCTGGGACTTCCCTTCTGAACAGGAAGTTAGGCAGAGCAAGGCATAGTTCCACTTACGTTTCCTGTTCCAGCCCCACTGCTCACTGGGACTTCCCTTCTGAACAGGAAGTTAGGCAGAGCAAGGCCTAGTTCCGCTTAAGCTTCCTGTTCCAGCCCCACTGCTCGCTGGGACTTCCTTTCTGAACAGGAAGTTAGGCAGAGCTAGGCCTAGCCAAGCTTCAAAGTCTATTCCTTGAGGCCTTGTCACCCAGATGAGTCACACTGAGATGCCTGTTTGTTAGGGTTGGGAATTATAGGGTTTTGTAGCCCAACAAAATAATTTTAAAAATCCCACCCCTTGTGGTTCCCATCCTGTTTCCTGCATCCAGCCATCTGAATCCTGCTTCTTTGAACCAGTAGTGATCTCAGAAGTTGGCCTTTCCCACCATTTTCTGCCAAAAACTTTTTAATTCTGGAGACGCTAGGGACTGAAGCCAAACATGTGCTCCACCCAAGTGATGGTCTCCTTCATTTCGTCATCTCCCATGAAAACCAGGCCAAAAACCTATTTTTAAGCGATTCACTGGGTGATCAAAGAGTGACTTCCCCATCCCGAAAAAGACCACTGGAAGAGGTAAAATCTCCAACATGCAAGCAAGCATTTCATGATCTTTCTGGGGTGGCCAAGAATGTTCTGTTTACTTTGTGCTTCCTTAAAAGCAGAAAAAGCTATCCGCGGCTCACAGCAGAACCAAACTATTTCCACAGGAAAACCATGGCTTCTCATCCTGGAATGTCTAGAGAGCGACATGGTATCCCTTTATTCCTGTGGCATTGGAGGTAGCCGTCGTGCTGCGAAGCTGCAGCAGAAGCCTTATAGCCCGCAAACCCACCCACCCATGTATGTGGCTTGCACAACCGTCGTCCGCTGTTGTCGCCAAGCGAAGATAAGAGGCTAAATATCTTTTTGTCAGGAAGCTACTTCAAGGCATCGTGTTGAGTGTCGCACGCTGGGCAGTGTCTGCATGCAGGTTTACTCCAGAGTAGACCCAAAGACCACCCAACTGTGTTTTCTATGGCAAAAAAGAGATTTAGTCCCTCATCTCCGATGGCCGCCCAGGACATGTATGGCCCACAGGGGCGCGGGTTCCTCTCTCTTGCCTTATGAACCTCCTGCCACATGTCTTGCTTCTTCACCTACTTATTCAGTTACTGATTTTTAGAGGGTTTCCCCCCCCCTCAACTAAAGAAAAGATTATTGCTTTGGTTGATTGGTGTTGACCCTAAGTGACCAACGGAAAAACAACAGGCCTGTAAAGTTATAAATCTCTTCCTCCAGTAAATGGGTCTTTTCTTCCTTTCTTGGCTGGACTTTCAGGCCTTTTGATGGAGAGACCGGCAAGGCGTAGATAGAAAAGACTGAGAATCAATGGGTTGGAAAGCCTAATACCGTGATCTGGAATCAAGTCCTTGGGCAAGGTGGCTTCCCGTTCTGGAACGCGCCCAGCCTTCGCCTTGCTGTCCCACTGCTGCCCACCCCCCTTTGCTATCTTCTGCGGCCTCCCTCCCACCCGCCCACCAGAGACACGCTCTCCTTTTCAAAAACTTAGTGACCAGAAAATTGGCGAGGGCAGCAACCCAGCGAGGCGGTTAATGCCGGCTGCAGAAGGCTGGCTCGCCCCGAAGCCTCCTGCCCTGCCGTTACCTCTGGGTGACCTCCCAGGGTTGGCAGCCCAGGTGGACTGCTTTTATGCCCTCTCCGGGGAGATGGCATGCCACCGGCCAAAAGAGCGTTCGGTCCTCGGAAGGGAGGGCTGGATGGTTGACGAACTCAGCTGCCACTCCTCATTAGCTTTCCGGCCAATCATGGTTCTCCTGGGTCAAAGGATGGACCGAGAGATCCACATTTGTTGCCATCCCGGTTGTGCTGTGTGTGTGTGTGTGTCTTCTTCCCTGCTTTCTTTACCACACTGAACCGAGCTTGAAAAGTTACTTTTCCATTCAAGCCCACTACCCATCAAGGGCTCAACACCTGGGGTTGGACGTGAGGATGTTCAACATCGCTTGATTATTTGGACGGTGGGTGGGTGAGAGACACGATTCTTAATAACCACTTTAATGTGACCGCCTGAGATTCCCCGTTTCTGCATTCCTCGGATGCAAACAGAAAAACAAGTGTCTGGTTCTCCAGATCATTTTGACCTAGAACTCTTAATAGAACCAATTATTTTTCCATGCTCTGAAAGCGTTCTTGTATTTTCTAAAAATAAAACTCTAAAGGTCAGAGTTAAGCTTTATCTTATAATCTTGGATACCTCAAACTGATCAACCAAGTTTGCAGCCCCCCATCTTGGGATGTTAATTCAAATCCAACATCTGTTGAAGCCATTGGCTTGGACCTTCCCACATCTGTTTCCTCCAAATATTTATATTTTAGTGTCGTATTTATGGCATTGCCTATTCTTGACTTTGAATTCCTATATTGCTAAACACTGCTCAGTATTCCTTAAAACACAGCCTTCCTGATTCCTTAAAGCCTAGTCAGAGAAGAATTTATCTCCTTTTTTAAAAAGATCACCCAAGGCATGCCAGCTGTACCTCGAGGAAAGCAACTATTTCACTCCCTATGAGCAAGACGTGCTCAAGAGAACAAATCATCTCGGAAGGTGGACAGGGAGAACCGTTTGATGGCTGGGGTTTATCATTAAGCGTGACACCTCCAAGGAAGGTCGGCAAACAGAGCGGGTCCAGAAGTAAACCTTTCAGCATTAAGATAAGAGAAAGCAAACAACAGGAGGTGTCGGCACAGAATGGAAAGATACAAAGTGGTGTTTTGAGAAGGACCGCAGAAATCCTTCTACTTAATTCTTGAGCGTCAGGGTAGAAAATGAGATGGGAGGGAGATTCGGCGCAGTTGAACGTTAAGCTACTGGGAGCTGATGTCACGTAGAAAATAACACCAGAGTCGGCCAGGGTGTGTGTGTGTGTGTTCAATGATCAAACTAAATGCCAATGGCAGCCCAGAAATCAAGAACCCTGAGAACTGGAAGGGTGCATCAGGGATGTGCCACTGGAGAACATATTTGGTGTGCGGTTCTTGATTGTTACGTGGAGATGCAAAAATCAGGTGATAAAGAAAGGTGACCAAAAAGAAAACAATAACAAGACCTGAATTGACTAGAAAGGAGGGGTTGGAGGAAAGTTGTATGGGTCACAACTGGGATGCACCAATGAAAAATAGAAATAAGTGGGTCCTAGAACAAAGTGCTCACTGGAAGAACAGATCCTGAAGCTGAGGCTCCAATCCTTTGGCCATCTCATGAGAAGAGAAGACTCCCCAGAAAAGACCCTGATGTTGGGAAAGTGTGAGGGCAAGAGGAGAAGGGGACGACAGAGGACGAGATGGTTGGACAGGGTCATCGAAGCGACCAACATGAATTTGACCAAACTCCGGGAGGCAGTGAAAGACAGGAGGGCCTGGCGTGCTCTGGTCCATGGGGTCACAAAGAGTTGGACACCATTTAACGACTAAACAGCAACAAAACAAATTTGTTTGTTCGTTCATTCGTTATATTTATATCCCACCCATCTAGTGCCGAAGCACTACTCCGAGCAGCTAACAGAGGTTAAAACACAATTACCCCATCCCGCCTACAAGGACACAAATAAAGAGAACCAGTAAACATGGATTGCCCAGGATGAGAGACAGGAGGGCCTGACCCATGGGGTCATGAAGAGTAGGACATGACTTAATGACTAAAGAACAACAGAACAAAACACAGTTACCCCATCCCGCCCACAAGGACACAAATAAATAGAACCAGTAAACATGGATTGCCCAGGATGAACAAAAAGAAAAGAAAAACATGAACAGCAGATCAAAATCAATAGTCAATTCATGGGGATGTTATTCAAAGGGGTAAGATAGTTCCAAAGGCATCTTTAAACAATACGGTTTTTACTTGTTTCCTGAAGGCCAGGAGGGAGGGGACGTGGCTTATATCTGCGGGTGACACATTCTAT